AATGATATGAAAATTATTTGCCGATATTTGGAGACTCCTTGTGGAGAAGAGGGGCGAGGAAAGGGCACCAAGCTTCAGGGGACACCACAGACAATTATGGCCCCTCCTTTGACGAAGTACTGGATGCGTCTAATGGCAGCAACGCTGATGTGCATTTAAGCTTAAATATACTATTTATACACGCTTATCAAAGTTAAACAATTGCTGATTGTCAGTATCTATTGTAGCCGTAAGTTTGTTATTGTCTTAATCGTCTTTTCTGTTTCATCAAGTAGACTCATGGATCTTTGTAGAATGGCTGTGCTTCTACCGTGAGAGCAGCAGCGATTTCCACGCGCTCATTTTTGGTCTCTAGTCGACGCACTTGTCCTCTGAACACTATGTTGTTTTCCCCTCCAAAAGAAGAAATCCAGGACACTTGAAATGTCGGGCGTGTCGCGTCGGCTTTCATCGAAAGCAGTCGTTTTGTATTGCATTTGTCACATAAACACAGTATGCTCCTTCTGCAACGCTTAAGCAAAGGTACTTCCAAGCCGTCACCACGGTAGCTTGCATGCCCAGCCATTTGGACTGACTGAGTGTGGGATGCGGGAGGGCCGCGCAGGCGGCACCTATTTAGTGGACTCAAAAGCTTCGCTGGTGTCATAAACACGAGCGACGACATCCACACTCCACAGTAATTACGACTCATCAGCATCCACGCGCAAACGGGGTGTACTGTGTACCCTGTGTGCAAAACCCGACCAGGTGTCGATTCGTGACGGGAGATGAGCGCGTTCACTCATGTAGTGAAGGGGCAGGGGCAAAATTCGTCTTCCCTTCCTCCGCTTCTGATGAATATACCCGTAATGAACGGGTTAATGTACGCAACTTTATGCCTACCTGCAAACAAGACACTAGCGCGAGAACACTAGTGCAAAGAAGACAAAAACCGGTCAGAAAATGTTAGAAGTAAAGTCCGGCAAAGTCAGCCAGTGTAGCCAGCGTCAGAGCGCTTTGTGCTGCCATACCAAGGTCACGCTGGGTCGTTGAGGTCAATTTGGTCTCGTTAATATTATAGCAATGTAAGTGCTCAACAGCCAGCACCTACCCGCGAAATTTGCGAAGGCTATTGCGGTTTAACCTACGTAACCTCCGTATACGCATTCCTTCGCATGCGTTGTAATCTGTGGAATTTTAAACGCTCTGAGGTTGAATGTAGCATCTTATCTTGTCATTGTATGGCATGCCATATAAAAATGAAGCTTGGCCCCATTGCAATGCATCCAAATAATGCAGCGACGGCCGAAGATGGCAACCCAAGTCACGGAAGACATTTGGAATGCCAAATAGCATCTTCTAAATTATTACAATGTTATTTTTGAAATCCAGTGAATGGGATTGGAACAGCTCTGGTTAGCTATCCGGTCGTTTTTCTGAGCCATTAAAGATAGCTGCGAAACGCGGTGACGCCTTCTAACAGCCATGTTTACAGATGCTGCAAAAGTCAAGACCGTGATGTAGTCAAAGACGGCTTTGGAGGGGTGCCTAAAGACATGTGTTCGAAACAACTGGACATTTTAAAAATCCGGTAGGCACACAACATTGAGTGCCTACTTCAATTCAGAACTACTCGCTTTGAAAACGGTGTTTACAGGTGATGAAAGTGAATATCGAACCCATTTATTAACGGCTTTATACGGGTAACCGTTTTAGCTGCATGCCTTGAATAGCCGGGCACCTCTCGATTCATATGGTATCTTTCTTTTTGTTATCCATTTGCTCTATCCTGCAATATTTTTGGCAAAACTTTGCTTAGAAAT